GCAGAACAAGATCAGAACTCCAGAAGCAAGGCAGCAAGTCTGTGTGCTACAAGAATAAAACTTTGTAAAAACTTGAACTCAAGACTTTGAAGATTTTTTACTTTGCATTGGACAGCATTACAGTCCAACACTTGAACACTCTGAAGGAAGATCTGGTAGAAAGTTGTGTGAGAAAGCAACAGCAGGAGCAGAAGGAATTTTCCAACAGATCATTTGCAAACTGGAAGCATCAGAAATATTTTACAGTCATACTTGAGTATGACGTACTTTAAAATTTATATCCTCTGTTGAAGTCAGAGCGACATGATACAAAAAGCGTTTCTTACCCTAAAAAAGAATAAAGATAAGTAGTGTAACGTTTACAGACAGCTTTCTCTGCTACGGCGTTTGCGTCAGGGAATTCCTGAGTATGCGTCATGAGAAATATTGTATGCTATGCCACAATGTACCCTTCCTCTGGCTGCTAGCCCAATATAAGCTCGTCGCTTCCATCTGAAGTGGCTGTGAAGTGTGAGAAACTGTTGTCAGTTTTGACCTGCTCCTGCGGTCTTCTCGGTAAGAATGTAAGAAGGTTATGGAGATTATCACAGAAATATTTTTATAATAAATATCGCATCTCTGATTTATAAACTTACTTCGAATTGAATTCCAAGACGAGGTTGCGAATGAATCGGAAGACACATTTACCTTTGGTATGCCGAGTACGAAGAGAACACAAATTTTGCATAATTTTTCGTCATCGTATTTAGCTTGAAATGTATCGAGTGGGTTCAGTTTGTACAGTACAGCATTTGTTTTTTTATTGTACTTTTATGCTACATTCATGCATATATTTTCATGTACCGTAACTTCGGAGTTGAAAAACTTTTGATTTCGATCGGAGGCTTTTTTTCCGCAGTTTTGAGCCAAGATTGTATTCTACTGGTTGATGATTTTTCGCCGCATCGCACGCCATCAGGAAATGGAAGGAAATTTTTCCTCTCTCCTCTCGCAGCAGGTTTGCAATCGTAAAGCCATGTTTATGCGACTCTGAATTTTAAATTGTGACTCCTTTTTTTTTGAGTAGGATCATCATCGACGCAAGAATTGGAAACGCAGAAAACTCAGCCAGGGAAGAAGGCCAGTGTCAAGTTCAGGAAAAAGATGCTGGAATTCGTTACGGGCGAGTTGAAGCCTATTTCGAAAAGGTTCGCTTTGGGTTGAGATCTACTAGGATATCTAGATCGTCACGATATTTTCTCAACAGTCAAGGAGAAGAAAATGGTTCGGATTGCTTGCAACTTCTGTACCACCGTGCTGTGAGGAATTGGCTTCTGCTCGTGTATTCTCGGGAGGTTGTTATCCTAGATCTCCAGTTTTGTGTCACTCTTTCTTTCATGGCCCTGGAACCGTCATCATCCCCTTTAGTTCAGGTACGTCATTTTTTACCGCAGCTTATTATTTTTTCTTCGCTATTGCATGCTTCTTTTTTGTTCAGGTTATATCATGCCGAGAGCCTGATCTGTTCTTGTGCTTGCATGAATCCGGGCTCGTCAGTGCAAGAGGAAAGAGGCTAATACCGGGAAATGGTACTTATTCGCAAGGTTTGTAGTGGTCTGAGATTTTTTAAAATTCTCAGTGAACTAGTGTGATGAAATGCGCTATGTTTTGCAGAGGCTAAGAGAAAATCGATCTCCGGGAAACCAGCGAATGATCGAAATGGATCAGAGCTTTTTTATGAAACCAAATGCCAAGGAGACTTCGTTCGAACTACAAAGAATCAGCGTGTCGCGTGCTTTATCAATCACCCGTTCACAGAGAATCGATTGGGTAACTTGTTTTTACGTGGTTCATGGTGTTTCATGATGCGAGGTGTTCGTTTTGCACAATTTTCAAGCTGTGTTGTTGACAAATGGGATCTTGGTGCTCGCCGAACTCGTGGCGCGAGTGAACTCAGAAGATGATGAACCGGTTTACAGTGACCCGAAGAAGGTGAATGTTTTGAAATGATGTAAAACAGTTGACCAGAGAATTTTAATACCAACTTTTACTTCTCAGTTTCAAGCCACCTACGATCTGAAGGACTACGGGTTTTTGTGTGGCTTAACCGCTTACAATCAAGTGTGTAGGATGTGCCCTCCTGTTACAACCAAGAATTGGCAGGCGTACAAACCTTATATGGCCGTTGGTTCTCAGAATGGTTCCATTTCGATTGTTAATGCTTCATCAGGCGTCGTCGAAAAAGAATTTTCCACACACTCATTTCCTGTGAGGTAATGAAAAGCTTTTTTTTATCTCCTGTCGATTTAATGATAAATATCGTTGAAAATCATCCCGCGTTTACGATTTGTCAAAAGCGTGTACATTTTCAGCCATAGGGTTGAACAAAAGTTCATGGTAGCTGCATGAGCACATGAAGCATATTTTTATTATTTTCGTTGCTGATCGTGATTCGCATGCGTCAAGAAAGCTGTATCCGTGATGATGACTACGATTTATAATTACCGTAATTAATTCTTCTACGTTGTTCAGTAAGCAAGCTGCTAAAATTATATTGTATTGTACGAACAGATTCAACGCGTATACTGTGAGATGCTGCGGAAATTGCTTTTTCTCCTGACTCTTTCTATCCATCCACCTGAGAGTTGATATATACATCGTTCTTCAGTGTCACTATTGATCATTAGAAAATTTATTTCCTCGCCTTCTGATGGAAATGAAAATTAAATTATAATTCATTTTTTTCGCTAGATAACCTTCCTCGATCACATGTTCTTGATATACCTTGAAGGAAAAAAGATTTTCAACAATATCTTGATTTACTGTCGTTTTGCTTTTAATTTGAAGATCAATTTAAAATCGTTCGAATTAATAATGTTCATATTGAATATTTCAATTTTTCTTCCCTTTTCAGGGGAATTGAGTGGACCGGTTTGCAGAGTTTTTTGTCATATGCCTGCGGATCATCCTCATCAACGCCAGCCAGCACTCCTGTTACTACTCAAGCATCCGTTACGAACGAACTTGTTCTGACGACGATCGCCACTGGGGAAAGTGTGCGGCTGCGCGGGGATAGAGGAGACGAGGAACCAATCAAGCTCATTCGTGTTTCACATCTCAAGTAATGGAAATTTCTTGGGTGTTTCTTCATGAAGTTCAGTTGCGAATAATTTCATTATTTTCAGACAATATGCTTTGGTGGGCTTTCAAGAGAAACCGTTCGAGCTTTGGGATCTGCGTTCTCTGAATCCGTTGAGAAGTTTACCTGCGAAGTTGCAGCTAAATATTTGTTCACTGGTTAGTTCAAGAAACAAATCTACGTGATTGGATTGGCACCGGATGCGAATCATCTGAAGGCTGATTCTCGATTTATTCATTCACGAGTTTAACTTCAGGTTGGGCGTCCGCGACGATGCGTGAAAATGTTACTTTTTTCTGTATTTAAGGAATGGTCGCCGGTTAACAATCACAAATTCGGTCCGAAGCATTCCGTTTCCGGCTACCAGTTGTCCGCGCTTCTGCTGAAACCTCATCTGACCCCACCAACTTCTCCGGACTCCATTCCGACTGTTTTCAGTGATACTGGTAATTCAGAAAAAAGAATTTCATGAAATCTTTCAGACTCATGACCATTGCCGGGGATCGAAATCGAACTGTTGACATCTTCAAATATGCTCGAGAACCACATAATTGTTCAAATACTGTACAAGTTTAAATAAATTGATCTTGTTCCTAAGTGGAAATCAAAAGTTCATCAAAGTTGGTTGTATTTGTTCGAAGATAACTTCGAATTTTGTAAGCATACTTTGCGTTGCTGAGAACATACCGTGTTGTCGTTTCCTCCTTGAATTTGTAGATTTTTAGTAGTGTATCACGGTAATCCTGTGATGTTGTCGAACGGAATGACGTTGCCCCTCGATTTAACTAGAAATTCCCGAAACGAATCATACTTCTGGTACTGCGTCCTTCCACGAGCTTTTTTCTCTACCATTTGACGTGCTTGCATTTCTAATTGCGTTGGGATTAATCCTGTGGTCCGTAATAATTCAAGAAGAAAGTAGGAACGTCATCCTGATGTAAGAAAAAAGGGGTTAGAATTTAGAAAATCATTCTGTTTTGTAGGACCGAAAGATATCGCTGGAGTCCTGGAGCATTTCATTCTGACAGATCCTGTTGGAAATATTTGGCACTTCGGGGTGGAGGCACAAGGGTTGAAGGACCTGCAAAAATATGCGAGCGAGGTTGGGGTTTTATTGAATTGTTGAAATAATTTTTAAACTAATGTTTCTCATTAATATCCGTGTCAGCCCTCGATCCGCGGTTCAACGAGTTGTGCCTGGAAAAGCGATCTGGTAGTTTGGGGCAGTAGCGAACCTGCGTTAACCTTACTAGACGTGAAATCGAAGACTTTCAGCACTCTTCCGTTGCCGAAGCCTTTTTCACCACCAGCGTTGCGACTTCGTTTCGCCCCAGGCCGTGGAAACTATAAGTTGTTGATCATGCACCCGGATGGACTTGAAGTCTGGGATTTGAAAGACGTTAGTATTAATTTATTTTTGACCGTTTTTCATTCTTTTAAAAATTTCGTAGACTTGTATACGTGGCCTGACCGCCTGAACATGCGACGTTTTGATTTCGGCTTTGATAGATGAAGCCGTATTCGCATTTGATCGCACCAGTGGATATGGTACAAATCCTGGATGCCGACTGGGCTGCATCGGATCAAGTAATGGTCATCACTGCTGATGGCTGTGTCCGCATCATTCGTGTTGACTTCAAGCACCCAGCGTGTTCCCCTCTGGAGGAGTATGAAAGACCAGGTTTGTTTTTCTAGTGTTTAATTTTAAATGCAAGGCTTCATCGTTAATTTTGAAGAAGAGAGTGTACCTGGAAACTCACTCGGCGACAACATTAAAAGTACTGAGAAAAAAGAGAAGATAACTAAGCTGACAAATCACGTATGGAACAAGAAAAGCCGAATTTGATTGCATCATTTTATTGAAAATTAAACCGTAAAACTTGCGCTTACGTTTTGTTCATTTGTATCTCATGTGGATGTGATATAGCGAATTTTTGCTTCAAAGCCCACAAAATGTTCCGTGTGCTGTACAATTTTCTCGTGGTGTGGAAATATCTGGATTCGACGAATCGCCATGTCGGTCTCTACTCAAACCAGTCGTTCCTTTACGAGATATAGTATATCTTATCCAGAACATGAATTTTGAATCAAAATTATTTTACAGATCCTCTAGCTTGCCCGGGACTTCTTCCAAATCGAGTTTTGCTTGCGCTGGAAGCACTTCTTCAGTTGTATCATTCGTGGGAAGACCCGGGACCATCACTCGTTTCATTCCATGGATCCAGAGCTTTTGAAATTTTAAAGAGTCAAGTGGGACTTATTCCCGACAACGCCAGACGAATTTTACGAGCATTTCAAGGTGACATTCCAGTGAGGTGCCTCGTGGCATCTCTCGTTACTGGTGATCTCTGGGGTTTCCACTTCTGGACTGTTGCGAAATATTATTTGGAACAGACGAGGGTACGAATATTTTCATTGAAAGGCATATCTCGGTTTTGACTGATAGCTCGAATATTTTTAGATGACGAAACTTGGCACATGGGATAGGGAAAGTCTACCATCCCTTGGCTCCTGGCTTGACATATTGCGAGATGGAGGAGCATTTGAGGTACTGTATATAGAAATTTTGATTTTTTAAATGAAATGCCTGTCAGCGAATTAATCCGTTTCTGCGACTCGACACTTCAGTTAACGATATCCGGAAAGAGACGATTTATCTTCGCACGAGGGAAGGAGCAAATGCCTGATAATTTTCTTTCCCTCATTCCGTCAGGAAATGCAAGTCCAGAATTTATTCCTCCAAGAAGGCCGTGGTTGCTCCACGGACCTTGCCATAAAAATTGCAGAACATGGGATCCTTCTGAAGCAGTGGAGTTACTCATCCCGCCTGTTCATGGAGAGTGAACCGCATCGATCCGACTTTTACCGAGACATGCTTCGAGTTTGCCTTGTTTCATCTCTCCGTGACAACAAGAACTCACAAAGCACTGTCAAAATGGTCGCCACAAACCTTATTGCGAACGATCAATTGTGGGAAGGAGTTCAGCTTTTGGTGCTGATCGATAAAGGCATTGACGCATGCCGGTATTTGATCTCGCACAAGCAGTGGGATGCAGGTGTTTGGCTAGCAAAAAGCATTCTACCACAAGATGAAGCTTCCGAAATTCTGTGCAAATACGCTGAGCATCTGTCGGACAATGGACAAAAGGCGAAAGCTGCTCTTGTGTTTCTCTCGAATTTAAAGTGGGACAGAGCTATCGACTTACTCATGGATTTAGGTCAAATATCTCGTGCCGCCTTGCTCGTACTTGCTTGTAAGCAGTACGACATCCTTACATCTGAGAATCCGGAAAGGAAAGGTAACTTCTCACCAGATAAAAATTGAAAATTCTCCATCTGAAGTTCTATCGATAACAGCTTTCTGGGAAATTCAGCGTATTATTGTTTTATTTATTCATTGTTCTCCATTGATTACAGGTGATGCTGTTGTAATGGAAGCTTTCCACCAGTACTTAACCGACATTGGATTCAACTCCAGCGGAGACATTTTGTCGGCGTTAGTGTAACATGGATCGGTGGTGAAACGTGAACCTTGAGTGGTTCATTTTGATTTTAAGTTACTTAATTTTATTGAAATCGTGATGGGTTTATGTTGCCAGTCATTCTCGCTTTTGTGCTGTGAAACCATGTCCATGGTTCTTATGGAATATTGTTCGGAAACCGTGCTTGTAATATTCATTGGATTATTGCATTATGATAAAGGTTGTTCAGCTCGATTACACCTCTTATTGTCTTTCTGAAAAGGGTTCCGCATTCCAAGTTTTCAACAAAATTTTTGCGTCTCTGAATGAAAATTGAATTTTCTTTGAAGTTTGCACTAGTTACGAGTAGCTACCTTTTTCGATTGCGTCGTTAATCGAACTACGTTTGGGATACAGGAACCCTTTTCATGATTTCTAGTTCTTTTCACCGCAAATTTTTGAAGGATATTTATCTTTTTTTTTTTCAGAGCTTGATGAAATTGCGCAATCGCTTCAAGAGGAAGCTTCAGGGGGGAGAGGAAGCTTCAGTTTCAATTTATTTTGTTGAAATGAAATATTTTCAATTGTTCCATTCTGACGGTCATTCAACGAACTTTCTATGTTTCCAATCGTCAATCGAATCACTTGGTACCTTTCCTTCTCCCATCAAAACATGCATTGATTTGTTTCCACGCGATATTGATGTACGTCACCGAAACGACGATGAATGGTGAAAAAATTCTTGAAATTTTTAATAATTGAGTTCGATAAGTGTGTTGAAGACACCGCTGAAACAGAAAAGACAAGAAATCTCCCGATGAATACCCGATTTAGAAATGTTCCGATTTAACTGATGAATGCTGTATAGTACTTCGAATTTTCTCGGTACAGCGCTTTCTTTTGTCATAGAAGTATGTTGATTCCGTTCTCTCTCATCATATGTGGTTTTCTGTTTTCCAGCTACCTTGTTATTTAAATTTTAACTTTGAAAGTTTCAGATGATTTTCTTTGGCCAACTTTTGCTGCATCTTGCGTATTGATGCATTCTACCATCCGTGAGTATTATGTTCTTGCGGATTTATATGATTGAAATTGGGTCAATTGGCTCAAGAAGTATATTGATTTTCAGCAAGAGGGCTCGGGTTACATGGCGAATGTTCCAAAATTCTTCATCTTTTCGCTGCTGTGCCACGTGCTTTTCTTCCTTTCGGTCTTCGAAATACACTTCAAGTCGCCGATCATTCATGGAATGACTGATGTCCAAGTCGACTGGTTTTCGGCGGAGCCACGTGCCAAGCGGATTGTGATATTCATAGCCGACGGGCTGCGGTATGACAAATGGCAAGAATTCATCGCACTTCAGCCCAGCAGTTTTATGGCTCGTACTTCGAAAGGAGATCATTGTTCGGTGGGTATATCTAATACACGCGTTCCGACCGAAACCCGCCCCGGGCATGTCGCGTTACTGGCTGGAATTTACGAAGATCCGAGCGCTGTTTTTCGAGGCTGGCAAGACAATCCAGTGGACTTCGATTCCGTGCTGAATAAAAGCTCGACTTCTGTTTCCTGGGGTGCTCCCGACGTTGTTCTGATGTTCAGAAAGGGCGGAGCGGAGAGGCATTCAAAATTCTACGCATATGATCACGACACCGTAGATTTTGCCGAGAAAAATGCATCTATTACCGATGCTTGGGTTTTCAATGAAGTTCAAAAGTTTTTCGAATATGGTGGTGAATTTCCCGCGTCACATCAGCAGGGCGTAGTTTTCCTCTTGCATCTTCTCGGAATGGATCTAGTCGGCCACAACAAGAAGCCGCACTCGAAAGATTATATGGACTGTCTGACTTTCGTGGATCGAGGCATAAAACAAATGGTTCAGTTGTTCCAGAAAATTTACCCGGATAATCGGACCGTTTTTCTAATCACAGCTGACCATGGAATGACGGATTGGGGATCCCATGGATCTGGTAGTGATGCGGAAACGCATACGCCTCTGATGATCTTCGGGGAACCTTGGGCTACAACTTCAGAGCTTTTCGTGAATCAAGCTGATATTGCTCCAACCATATCAGCATTGGTTGGCAATCCACTTCCTGTTAATTCAGTGGGATTCGTCCCATTCACAAATTTTAGACATGCGTATGGTCTTCCCTATGCCGTAAAAGTTACGCTGACGAATGCACTCCAATTATTGAGCCAGGTGGAAGCGTTGGAACAGATGCACGCTTCAAGCATTTCGTATCGCAGTTTTCCTTTTCGTGATTTGGAAGATCGACAAGACAGAATTACACGTATCAAGGTTTTCATTAGAAGTTCAAATTTTGAAAAAGCTGCAATGGAAATTATTTCGCTTCGTTCCTTGGCCGCCGAAGCATTGGAATACTATCAGTTTCTGCGGAAGCCCGCGATGATGCTTTCTGTGCTGTGCAGCTATGTAATTTGGCTCGGAATAGTTGGAGGAGAGATCATCGCGAAAGTTTATGACTTGAACCGAGCGACGGAATTCGGACGCTATTCACAAATTTTCTGCCTTTTGGCGATCGGAACAGCGGCCCTCCTCTTCCTCGAAAATTCGGAACTCTCTTCATACGTGTACTTCTGTTTGCCATTTTTGTTGTTGAGTGGACTTGTAACCAGAGAAACCGCGCTAAGTGAGGTACGAAAAGTTGTGACGGAAAACCGTACCTTTGGTTTAATTGTGACAGCCCTGGTTTGTTCATGGTATGGTTGCTTTACTTACCGGCCGACGTTGATGTGTTCCGCGGTGATCTTGAGTGTTTGGCCGTGGAAAGACCCGTCATTGAAATCCAGCACTGTCACCCATTTGAAGTGCAATTATTCGATTTCAAGCCTCCTCCTTGGAGCATTTGCATTAACTCCAGTTGTCGGAAAAATTTCGGATTATGGGTTCGTGTATGCTGGTTGCGTATTGTGTTCCATCATCCTGGGATCGAGATCTAAGTACGGGATTTTGCGATCTGTGGCGTTCATCGTATGTGGGCTAAATGTCCTCCTGACTGTTACGACTGTGGACCTAGGACGGGGCTCGCCGTTTGTTTCTCGAGTGTTGAGTTGGGGTGCTTTGACGAGCATTGTGCCAGTGTGCTTCACAAAAAAAGACGAGAGGGAGCTGAATTTTTTGACAGCATTAAGCTGCGTTTTTCTTCTTCTGTCAATTCGTCATGAGGCGATTTTCTTGCCGATCCTGATTTATAATTGCAAAGCGTGGCGTTCGTTGGAATTTTGTTCAGACGAACAGCTTTATCCGGGTCCAATTGCGGAGAAGTCGCCCGATTTCCGTCAAATACGTCGACCTGTGTTCCTCGTCATCTACGCGTTACTTGCTTTTTTTGGCACCGGTAACTTGGCCAGTATCAACAGTTTCGACCCAACAGCAGTGTACTGTTTCGTCACCATATTTATTTCCGTCAAATACGTCGACCTGTGTTCCTCGTCATCTACGCGTTACTTGCTTTTTTTGGCACCGGTAACTTGGCCAGTATCAACAGTTTCGACCCAACAGCAGTGTACTGTTTCGTCACCATATTTTCGCCGTTCGTGATGACTCTGCTATTGCTAATCAAGATTATGATTCCAGTATGCGTGGTGATGCTCACGTTTTCTTCTATATCCGCGGGCAAAGACAATTTTCTCATTGTGATGTTCTTGTGTGATGTAATGTCCTTGCTGTTTTTCTGTTCAGTGAGGGCCACGGGGTCTTGGCTAGATATCGGGACCTCAATATCGCATTACGTGATTTCCTTGTCTTTAACTTTGTTTTTGCTTGTGTTGCATCAAGTATGCATGCGACTGATAGGCTTTTGGGAGTTGAAACAACACGCTGCATGAAATCTGTGCGTTATTCATTTGAATGATTGTAAGGAAGATCTTTCGTCTTCCTTACGTCGTGGTCTTGTAATCGAACTGATGTTTTTATAACCTCATATTCATTCCTAGGAGTGTGGATAATTAGCTTCGACTGTATTGAAAATGCCTGCCACGTTTCCATTTCTGCAAGTTAAATTCATCTGGCATTTTTCCTGAAGTGAGCAACCAAGAGAGTTTGGCTGTGTTAGTTTTAACTTTAAAAATCTTGGAAGTCATTAATATTCCTATTCCGCCGTTTGCGAGGGAAAACGAAATTATTTTCGTAAAAGAGTTCTTTGCTAGAACTGGGAGAGTTGAAGTTATTTGTATGACTGCACTAGATTGTTTAAACTTTTATAGACTAGTTTCATAAGGCTTGAAAACCGAAATTTTTCGGGAACAGTTTTGCTATGAAAAATGAAGAAGGTGTTGTGTGGAAAAGATTCTTCTATTATTTAATTTCAATTATTAACTATACTACCGATTTTTTTTAAACTACAGTATACAGTATTTCACATACCCTGCAAAATCTAGAGCGATCAATAGGCTGATGACTTGACATCTGTTATTTCTCCTTACATTTGGAGGTTGGCAGAAACTTGAATAATCATGCTACGCCAAGATATTTTTAATTGCAACCCGCTCCTGTGAACTGGGACATGATGCGGATTTCATGAGAAAAATGTATTTCCAATGAGTTGCACACTTTAAATACGTGATACAATGCTGCAGTGATAATGTTGATACTGTACATTAGCTCAATTTAAAGGGTACTCAAGAATTCGTCCTCGGACGAATTGGTTTTCGTCCCAGGCCGGGGTAGATATTGGCCTCTGGACAAGCCGTCCTCGCGGGGGTACTGGACAACTGGCGGAGCAACCGGAGAGGGAGCGCCGGTCAGTCTACGATTAACTGTTTTCCTTCAGTTCGTGTTTGGATTCCATCAAAGTTATGTGTACATCTTACCCTGCTTCCGAATTTATATGATTGTTTCCTGCATCTTTCACAATGCCCAGATGGTGATTTTCAGCATGTCCTTGTTGATTTTTGTAAGCAATGGAGATGAGCAGAAAGAGAAGGCATTTTTAAACCCTGAATTGTGGCAGCAAGGGAAGTACGTATAGTTTTGGAGCTGGTTGTTAATGAAAAGTTCCGGGATGCATGTGAGGTATAGAGTTTCGTAATCAAGTAAAACTATAATGCCTGTTCGAAGAATATTTTGGATTCATTGCAGGGTCCTTGTCCCTTTTATTTTTTAAGATGAAGTTTCCTATGAAATGAATGCGTGGTTGCTGCATGTGTGGGTTCTATGATTCTGTATTTTAAATGTACTGTACTTATCGAACCGAACATTATGTGCTAAGCTAGTAATACTGTACTGTATGAGGAACGGTAACCATCAGGCTTGTGTTTCATCCTGAAAGTTTCCAGCGCTTTTCAAATTAAAATTCATCTGGAATAGGCTTTTATCATTTATTTTTAATTCTTGTTTGAGCTACTGTGCTGTGCACTTATTTTCTGTCTTGTTACTTATGCAGTTTATGGGTAAAGCCAGTTCACAGGTGCCATTGAGTTCTACGGTTGTGTAGTGCTTAATTTCCGATCATTGGATGTGGATTGCGCGCGGTGTTATCAAGAGGGGATGGCAATTCGTGGTTGTTTTTTAGATGATATTTATTCTTGCGTCTGTGACTGCATGCAGATACTCCTGTGTTGCAAGGTACGGTATAATGAAGCGATTGCATTGATGAAACTGCTCTGTTGTCATGGGACTTCTCGAAATTGTGCCGTGGAAAAGCTCATTTCACAAGGAAAATAATATCGTTCGTCATTTGTCCAGGCAGGTATAATCATTCGTCGCAGGAGCATTCCATTAATCTTGGACTCTCAGAGGAGCTTTTTTTTTCTTGGCTGCGTTTGTAGGACTATTTTTAGTTCCTGCCTCGTGATGTTCTTGGGCGAGGTTTTGTCTCGTGTTCATTTGTAGCGCACCTTGCCTAGTTAACGACACGAGAAGCCGCATGGTTCACCGTTTCCGGGAGTGATGGCGCAGTCGCCCGGCCGGTGTTGGATGGCTGGGATAACCGCCTGAACCCGAGAATTGTGTTGCAGTACTTCCACGCTGCCCCTCCAGAGGGCTGTTTCCTACCACTCCATCCCTCAGCGCCATAAATGAGTGACTTCATGAACTGCGCATGCTTGCAGATAGAGATTACATGTTGAAGAATGGTGTAGGAGTAGGAAGATAACGTGATATTCAATAGTGTACTTTCTTGTTATCTCTGTACCTCATTCCTAGACTGCACTACCATCCAGACAAATCTTTAGGACAAGTTCATAATCATGACAACCTACCAGAAACTGTGAATTTTATTTTCTGCATTCTGCTGAAACTGATATTGGCAGGCAGTTAGGTAAAGTTAGGTTTGATTAGGTTATGTTAGTTATAAATATCTTTTAATTAACATAACCTAACCTAACTTTACCTAACCAGCACCTCCCAAATATCAAATATATTTTAATCAACATAACCTGACCCAACCTAACTTTACCTAACCACCTCCCAAATATCAAATATATCTTAATTAACATAACCTGACCTAACCTAACTTTACCTAATCACCTCCCAAAATCAGGTTCAGCAGCATGTGGAAAAATAAAATTCACAATTTCTGATAAGGTCATTGTGATTATGCACTTGTCCTTAAGATTTGTTGGGATGGTAGTGCAGTCTAGGAATGAGGTACAGAGATAACACAAAAGTACCATATATTTTTAATTATTAAAAAAAGGTGTTTTTATACGTGCACTATGTTATTAGGCCCTTGGAGTCTCCATTTACATTTTACACTGCCAAAGCATTGCAGTCAAAGTCACTCAATGAGAGGCTGGTGCTCCTAGGGGTGGAGTGAAAGAGGTAGGGTATGGAGCAGGGCTGAGTGGAAGTTGTACCATAAGGTCGCCATGGTAGGGGTATATTTTGTGCGTAGGTCTAGTGGTGGTGGGAACCTGTTATTTCTCAAATTTCCTGTATGGCATTTGTTGACAAAAATTGAATCCACCCAAATATTTCAGGCGCCACCGTGACTTTTGAGACTGCTGCTTTTTTTGTGCCAACACCTTTCAATGTACAGTCAACCCCCGTTAAACAGCCAACGTTTGTGCAGCCAAATTTTGGCGGTTTAACGGGGTTGATGGTTTATTGAGGGAAGGATGAACCAGATAAAAAAAGGCTCTGCCCCTGCCACCTCTGCTTCAACCTAGCTGATGAATTTTTTTCTCTGCTTTCTGGGTAATTTTTTTTTCATTACAAACATCCCAAAATTGAGTAAACCAATTAAATTTATAATCATGCTTCAAGAGAAAATTCTTCAACCTTGATTAGGCTGGGTTAATTTTGGGTTGGTCAGACTCATTTAGAAGAGGTTAATTTAGGATAGCTTTGGTTTATTTAGGTTGAAAAGTTCATCAATACTGTATTTTGCAAAATGTTCCACAATATCATTCTATGCAAAAAATATTTGGAAATTTATTCAAGATATCCCAAAAATAGATAAATGACAAAATATTGAGTAGTAGGATAGCATTGGACTGAAGCTAGCAGAAATGTTTTTTGGTGGAAACTGGAGCATAGAATTGATCTGCTATGTCTCAATGGCAA